GTATCTTCCAATTTTTTAAACAGGAAAGCCCAGTTCAAATTGTCAAAGGCCTTCTCTGCATCTAAGAAAATCGATGCAGCTTGTTTTTCATATGTTGCTCCAAATATTCCAAAATGTCCAATGCATTTCTAATATTATCCCTTAACTATCTTTTAGGTAAAAACCCACATTGATCTTCATGAATAAATTCTTGCAAAATTATTTTCAACCTCTCAGCCAGAATCATTGTAAACAACTTACAGTTATTATTTAATAATGAACTGAAGCTATCTTTTAGGTAAAAACCCACATTGATCTTCATGAATAAATTCTTGCAAAATTATTTTCAACCTCTCAGCCAGAATCATTGTAAACAACTTACAGTTATTATTTAATAATGAACTGAAGCATATTTCAGTGCAAAATCAAAAGCAGTCATGCTGGGGACAATATAGGCCCAGATCCAAACAATTTTAGTTCCATTAACTTCTTAATTCGACTAACATCGCATTGTTATGCATGTCTCTACACAAACAAATTCTATAAAGAACAGATGCATATTAAAGCCAGCATCAAAGAATAGTGATCGGTATATTAAAACAATTGAAAACATGGCACATATGAGCTAAACATGTTCCAGTTGATGAAGCAATGATAGAAAAAGTTTGTTTCTGAGTCACCACCATATGGTAAACATCCATGATGATTCCAACTATCTAACAGGCTATAAAGAAGAAGGTAATTTTTAGAACCTCACGAGAATTTTCAGGGCAGAACTCAGAATATTTAACCCAAATAATTGTTCTCTGGGTTGCCTGTTGCTTCTACAGCACATAATATTACAGTATTATAATATTCCAGCCAAAATTTTCTGTCTTACTGATTGTAAAAGGAGAATTATGCAAATATTAATCTCACCTGCTGAAATCAATTAGGTATTATTGGTTTGCTAGTTTACATAAATTATATCCTGCAGCGGAAATGTACATTCCCAACATAAAAACAAAACAGAAAGAAGATATAATGAAGTTACAATAAAAATTGAGAAAACAAGATACTAAATGACCAGCAGTTTAGCATGTTAAAAGTCCTTTCCCCCACCCCCCTTTTCAAAGTCTAGAGATATTTTGCCTGGTGCCGAAATGGCAGCAATGAGGTCAAGCAGGGAGAGTCTTTGGAAAGGGAGGTCTCCAGTCACCACCTACTACTCAATCCCACCCACACTTAACTAGGGATCAATCTAATTGCCTTGGTGGGTCGCTTCCTAATTGAATATGCTCCACAGTGCGGGTTTGAAATCTTTTTCAGACTGTAGAATCTGTTAATCAAAAAAACCAAAACAAAAAACAAATCCTGGAACTCCTGATCTTCAAAATAGTCACTGTGAGGGTTTTGTTTTTTGTTCTGTTTTGTTTGCAGAAGTTCCACTCTTTCCACTGTACCTTTAAAAAATTGCTATGTGCGCCTCTGGCTGCATCCAAGTTAATTTTTTTTTTTTTTGCCCTTAGTCTCTCACAGAAACCCATCAACTTCTCACGGAACGGTAGTTTCAGGCAAAAGCATTTGAAGAACCCTGCTCTAGAGGCAACTAGATGTAATGGAAAGAAGGAATAACCTTGAGGAACAGAAGGAGGAGCTGCTACCAAGACAATGGTCAGATAAAAGAAATCTGAGCCCAGGCCAAAATTGTAACCTTAGAAAGCATCTGCCCCTAGTTCTCACAGAGCTAAAGGGGGCGGGGAGGGGGAGAGGAAACACATTCAGACTAACAAGATTCTGTTAATGTAACCTTCTAATAAAAGCAGTATTAGCATTCATAACTAGGGTTTCCTAATCTGGTCACCTCGAAGGGCTAACATCAGGGGAAAGATATAGCTTGGTGATGCAGCCTGTGTTTTCCACAGAAAAGGTATCAACTATCCTGGTATCTCCCAACAGGGTTGGAAAAATTTGTCCTTGAAATCTTGGGAGAGCTGCTTCCAATCAGTGTTGACAATGCGGAATTAAATAGACATGAGAGTATAAGTCACTTTGTAAAATTATTTAAAAATGGGCTTGTCTTTATACTTTCTTCATCCTGCTCATAAAAAAGGATGCACAATGGGTAATGAAGATGCAGCACTGCCCCTGCTTTTTCCACTGCAATCTCCCCAGGCTGATGAGGGAAGATCTACTGGGAGGGTTTAATTGTCATATGTACTGCCTGAGCCAGCAGTAAACCATTTATAGGGAGCAATCTGAAAAGGGAGGTCCTGACAGCCTCACAGGAACAGGAAAACCTCAAAGTCCAATTTGTTAAGTCCAAACAGGAACAGAGCAAGGGAGTATCCCAAGATAGTCCTAAGCTGGGAATCCATAACAAAAGCTTATTTCAGTATTGCAGATAAGGCATATTTTGGACAATGCAGCCTAGTGTTTTAGTTTTTGTGGCCAAAAAAAAAAAAAAGCATTCCAAGGGTTGTGCTTCTTGATTGAGTTGCGAAACATGACCCCTTCGGACAAGACTGTCATTACAAGACTACAAAGCACCTTTGTAAAGCCTATGTCAGCCCTACTAATTAAACCAGGGCAGGAAAACAACTTCACAGGAAGGTTAAAACTACTTTTTTTTTAGACTATAATAGCAGAACCTTGCAAGTCTGATTGTGCTGTACCTCCTCCTCCTCCTTACACTTCAGTGAATTAGGAAGGCATCTGCCTAAGTCACTTCTGAATGTTATCTTGTAGTTCTGGACTTAAAAATTGCTTCAGCCCCTTTTGCCTAGGTTCTTGTCTATCTCTGTCAAGATCATCTTCCTTACTTTCTACAGCCTGTATGGCAAGTAGGCAGGAATCCTGTTCCTCTAAGAACTGTCTCTCTTTAGGGCCTGGAGTGGCTTTGCAAACTCATTTTCATCTGTTGTGTTTTCCACGTTACTGCATAGCTCATCTTCAAAGAGGTGTAAGCCTGCAGGGTCTTCCTGGGTAGGGACCTGCAATTCCTGCTGTTCTTCAGAAAAGGACTCTTCCAAAGAGGAGTGGCAGTTGGTAAGCTGAAGGTAATTACAACCTCCCATGGGATCAAGAACCTGATTAGGGCGAGTTCCCAGTTTCATGGTGAGTTCCAACAATGCTTGGCCAACCAAATACACCCTAAGTTCCAACAGTGCTTGCCAAATAAAGTTACATCCCATCAGTCAACAGAGGGAAATTGAGGATGATATAGCTTACATCTTCACCACCCTACATGCATTCTTTTTACAAATGCCCGAAGAAGATTTATATCTGTCTCCTCAGTACAGCAGATCACATTATTACTGTACAACCGGTCCTGTAGAACATAAAGTGAATTTATCTAATAAACCAACCAGTAAGCCAGTGCAGATAAAACCACCATTGAAGTCTTTGGATGATCTAGCTCTGTGAAGGACTGAGACTTCAGTCTCAAAGAGGAAAAGATAAGTTATAGCAAAAATTGTAGTTTTGTCAAAAGTAATGACTCTCAAATTGAATTTGGCTCAATAAATCAGTTGAAAGGCTCTAAAAATATCGTAAACCTTGAAAGCACAGCTCAGAATGTTTTACAAAACACAACTGTCACCAAGATTCCATTTTTTAGTGTCTTGTTATTCAATCCAACATAACATAATGTTTTTTTAGAATATTTGGTATATATTTGGAGATAGTAGGTGGGAGAATGGAAATCAGAGAGGCAAATAAAAGGGCTTTTGAGGTGCGAGTAAAATAGAAAATGCATATTTGCTCAAGAGTGGAGGGGGGGGAAATGTCCCCATTTATATAATTTTCATGAAGGTCCCTGAGGGCAGATGCAATTCTTAAAATATTACAAATTGGGGATATTAAGCCACAATACAGTTACAGAGGAATGATTTAATAAAGACTCTTGTTATATAAGAAAAGGAAGCAACCAGCTAATAGAGCAACAATGCAATCCTTGCTGCCTACAGCTTTTCAGCCAAAACTGTGCATAATGCACATTCTTCCTTCTACAACTGATAGAGGAAATCCATGAAAAGTTGATGACTTTGACTGAAGAAGGCATTTTGCCCAGGATGCTTAGGCCGGGAGGGAGGGGGAAGCAGCTAGCAATAAACATAGAGCAATCTGTGGGTAATTAGACCCACATATATCATAGCTGCTAGTTAGCAAGGCCTGCTCCAGGAAGAGGCAATATGCTGAAAATGTTATTTTTTATCAAGAACAACTTATTATGGTAATCCATATAGAGAGACCCCAAAAACCCAGATTTATTCAGAGAAAACATCATGAAAAAGAGTGCCAATGAGAAAGAGATCAAAAGAAAAGAGCATTTTACTCATTCTAAGACATAGTTTATTATGGGAAAAAATGCAATGCAATGGTCTTGGGAGGGCATATTCCATAGGATTTTTCAGACCTCCAGTGATGACCTTGGAAGAAGATAAGTCAACCTCACAGAACTCCTCTGGATGACTTAAAATATCTATGGCTGGTATTCCTCTGCTATTAAAACTCTGATATTGGGGTGGAAAAGAGGAACATTGGGAGTGGTTATCTACCCACAAGATTCAAAGCTGTTCCATTCTATCACTGTGCAGAGAAAGAAGTTCACTAGATCTGGAGCTAGCATACTTTATTTCCCTCACATAATTTCATTTTTAAAAACTTTCAAAATAGGAAACACAACAGATTCTGAATGAAGAAACCAACAGGACAAACAGAGGCTTAGGAAAGGCAGCTGCTTTGCCTTGCCTTCTCTCTGTCAAATGTGATGGAACTGTTGCAAACATGGGAGAAAAAGGTGCACTTCCCAGATGTATATGCCAGGCTATGGCCTCAGGATGCTGCTTCACCCTATCATCTCCTTTCTCTTTCTCTACACTCAGATGGGGAAAAAAAAAGGAGCCTTCTTCAACTCAGCAGCTCCAATCAACTGCTGATCAATGATGAGGTCAGAAAGAGAACCTTTCTGAGCAATCAGCTTGGTTCCAATTAGGGAGCCTTTCTAAGCACTAGATGGGACTCTTAATGGAGAAGGCAGGGGCTGATCATCCAAAATTGTCCTAGGAACTGAGCACTGCCTCAGGGACCATGGCTTCCTTTCTTTGGGGCTCTACTCCCTGACATCATCTAGCCTTCAGAGGTCAATCTATGGAGCCAAATCTAACTTTTCCACTCCTTCAATATGCTACTGCATGCTCAAGCCCATTGCAATGCAGTTCACAACTTTAAAATGCATACGAAGTATGTCTGTTAGTGAAAATTGTTCCAAAGTGTCTATAGTAGGAGGAGTGCACATGAATCTACACGTTTTTGGCATGTATTTTTAATCTGAAACAGAAACCAATGTAGAAACATGTATTGTAGGAGAAAAAGACTGAAAATCAATTAACTTAAACCAAAATTGAAACTTTCCCCTAACTTGTTCTGGCCCACAGAGATGTGTATCAAAGTCATTAATAGTCCAAGATCATAAATTGGTTGAGAATTGGTTAAAATTGGAAAAATTAGAAAGCAGAGCCATAGCCCCTTTCCTGTCCAAGATAAGCCAAAGTTTCTTATCAGCAACTGAAGAAGGTGGAAAGCAGGTGACCTCCAGGCATAGGATACATAAGACTGAGCAATCATGGAAATTATTCAAATCTCAAGGCTTCCCAGTCTTCATGAATGCTGCTGTTTTAGGATGGAGGGCCAGAAGGTAGAGATGGTGTTTGGAGAAGGTGTCAGGATCAGGAAGATCCTATTTAGCCTCATCACTTGATGTTAGGATCTGATTCCTCAGTGTTGGATCTGCCTGGGTTTTTCTCCTGCTCCCCTTTCTTCTCTGACAACATGCCAGGGTTAGCTATAGCTACAGCTGTAGAACATTCTGACTTTCAGGTTAATGGAAAAGCAGGATGGGAGGGGGACTTGTGTAACCAACAAAATCCACCTGAATAGAAATAATTGAAAGCATTGTACAGATATTTAAACACTGTGATTCAAACAAGCTTTAATCACAGCTTTATAATTATTTCTAAATATATGCCTGTCCATTTTGAATTATATTTAGAAGATAGACTGTTTTGTTCTGAATTTTCTAAATATAGTTCAATCTATAAAGTTCAATTTGGCTTCGTTTAATTTTATGCAGGTACACATACATGTCAAATACTGAAGAGACTGAATAAAGTCTCAAGAGGTAGCAGCATATAGCTGACTCTGAGCTTGGAAGCTAAATAGCATTGGACCTGGTTAGTACTTGGATGACAAACCTCTAAGAAATTAAAAAAAAAAAAAAACAGCTTGGGAAGTTGGAAAAAAAAGTGATAGCACCCCAATTTGGTATGTCTTGCAAGAAAACTAACTGGATATGTTCACAAAGTCACCAGAAATCAAGCTCAGCTTGAGTCTGTACCTTTTTGAATAAATAAATGATTAAAAAGCCAATGAGTCTAATTGTCTCTCCAGAGTGCCCATATGCTCTCATTTACAGAGGACAGTTCCCTATTTGGAGGCCTCTCCCATTTAAAGATCAACAATTGTAAGAAGAAAGAGTAGCCCATAAATGGTGAGGTACTTATCCCATCAGCTTTCCCCAACTAAAGTTGATTGCATGTCAACTTAAATTACTAGAAATTGTTTCAAAATCTGCATATGTAAATCTAGCATATGCATATTTCATTTACATCTGCCTAGTCTGCAGTTTTTGGGGCATGTAACATTAAGTAATAAGCCAAGCCAGTCCTAGCACCATTGAATCCTCTGGAGCCCCTGGTCCTTTTCTAGAACCCAGTTCTTTATCCAGCACTGAGGCATCAACAAGTAGGAATCAGAGGATTTCATGGTGTCAGGAATGCCCTGACAGCACACGCCTGCCACAGCAGCAATAAACCCAACAAGTAGAGGAGAAAGGGGAGAACTCAGTAGAGTCCAGCCATACAAGGAAACAGGAGAATGCAACAGATGGATCTCTAAGCTGAGCTAAGAAACCTCTTACGTTCTAATGTTTTAAACATACTTCCTTTTCTCCGCATGAGTTGTTTCTCTTCTCTTCCTCCTCCCCACCACTTCAAAACTTGATAACTTTTTTCATCAAAATGAAATGGAAGGCATACACTGAAGATTCTCTGAAGGCAGGATATCACAATGTGGAAAAAGTCCTAAGAGGAAGAGAATGGGAATTGTACAGCTTTTTAAGTAAATCAGCCAAGTAAAGTCACTGAAGAAAAACAAATGCAACCAAAACTGCATACTAATCTTTTGGTTTGTCAAAAGAAGATGAGGGTTATTTATGATAATTGAAGTCAATGAAAATATTATTATTGATCTCTGTGGGCTGAGGAGCAAGTCTATTTATCCATTTATTGCTTTACATATATATGCTATTCACCTGGCATCCTCAGGAGAAAGACATTTAATTGCAATGGCACAGAATGATGCACGTCAGGTTTTTTATTAACTTTTATTTCTTTTCTATTTTTTCTGAATTTTTATTATGTTTTAGGGTGCTTCACAAAGAAACAAAACAAAACTGCAATTAATATAGTATCTCTAAGTGGAGTTCAGGAGTCACAGAGCCATCTGTCAAAAGAACCTGTCTAGGCAGATGCATTTCAGTATAAAGTCAGTCATTTTTATCTTCTGCATTAATAAGGTACCATTCCATCCTCTAAGGTTCCTATTGTGGAAACCTTAGAAAGAAGCAAAAGACATGCCTTGATATTAATGCTGCACCAACCTGGAGTTTGTAGTGAGTTAAAACTTCTTCTTTTCATAAGAAATAACCAAATTCCATGAGAAATGCTTGGGGGTGGGAGGAGGTAGTAAATATCACTTATCTTCAGTGGTTGGCTGATCTATTCTCTCTTCTTTACTTAAAAGAACATCTAGCAGCAGCAGTGTTGCATGGCCACCTGATCCCTGAAAGGAGACAGAAGACGAAGGTTTTGAGCCTTTGCACTGCTGCGACCACATACAGGCCTACTCAGAAGACTCCCCCTCCCCCCACCAACAAGGTAAGGTGACATGTCTGTCTTCCAAGGCCAGCTCCTTTCCAGATCTCTCCACTTAGCACCCCCTTCGCAAAATGGAGCAACTTCAAAATGGAACAAACATTCAGGAGAGCACTGTTTAATACTTTTGTTGTCGTATGGTACGACAGAGGAGTGGGAGACAGAGAGTGGGAGATTCTCCAGATGAACAACTCATCCCCAAACTTTTAAAATACGAGTGTTAAATTCAATTAGATTCTGTCTGGGACATTTTTCCCTTTGGCTGACATCTATCTTGGAGGAATGTTGGGATGAGTCCTGAATATGCTAACCAATCAGCATTTGTCATTGCAGGTTCTGCTTCCCCTAAGCACAGAGGTCTGAACTGATAAAACTCCCTTTCAGCTTCACTTCACAAAAATAATATGACTTGCTAGCACTTTCTTATCCTCCCCCTTACATGATTCATGTATTTGTCTACAGTAAACTCAACACAAGCTCTTTGTGGGCTAGTTAATCAAATTACAGAAGAGAAATTTGACTGTATCAGGACAGCTATTCTTCCTGTAGAGCAGATATGATAAGTGGAGGCCCTGAGGAGGCATGGACAAATCAGAACTGAGGATTCTCCACAAATGGATCATCTCCTCTGTCCACCAACTGGCCAATAAACAAACAATCTCTTTCTCTACTTTAATTAAACCTTTGAAAGCTAGATAACCTGCTGGAGGAAGGTGTTAACTTTTGGGTAGCTGTTCTCCAGGAAAAGCAAAGAATGAGGAAACAGCAATGCCCTAACAGCATATCATAAGAGGCTCACAACAAAAGAAACAAAATATGTTTTGAAATGTTTGAATGTTTGGGGAAGGTTACAGACAAGGACAAGTGGACTTCCTGGAATAGACAATGAAAGAAGGCATTGGGGCCACAAAAAATTTGAAGTCATTTGCTAGATCGTGATATTGGAAGAACAGGGGTTTAGACCGTGCTAATGCCAGGATAAAATGGGTGTCTGGAAAACCTCTTTGTTCAGGATTTCTTTTTGTAACCCCTTTCTACTTTTGCATGTTCTTCAATGTGGTCAACCAGTTATTAATGTTAGAAATTATCCATTCAGGGGTGTTATTTAACAAATTGTTAAATTTTGTTTGGAAAAGCAAGGAATGGGGGAAAACTACATCTAATTGATGGTCTTGCCAACACATCACATGGCTGGTTAGCAGTCTTGATAAATTATCATGAGACTGGTTGTTCCCTAACATAGATAACACCACTGTATCTATTATTGTTATTCAGTTACTATAACTGAAAGAGTACTTTCCCTCAAAGCTTTTCTTTTTACGCTGTTGTACAAAATGTGTCAACTTACTTTGTACACTCTCAGTTTAAAGCTTCAGCTTAAAGCTTTGCAATAGGAAAATACAATGGTATCCCTTTAATTTTCTCAAACATAATTTTTTGAGGCTAAATAATCCTTTTCATTTATCCAAAATTCATCAGTGATCAGCTGAAATAACTGAATATTAGGCTTTTCAGTTCCAAACCCAGTTAGGTAGCTAGTACCCAGCCAAGCTAAATAAGGTCAGAACTAGTTAATATCTCAATGAGAAAGCACCAAAAAACTCTAAGGCTATCAGCTAGTTCGGGAAGTTAAAGGAACAAAGAAAAACAAACAAACAGAAGGCAATAACAAACTACTTCCATGATGTTGCCAATAAAATTACATAGATATGTCCATGAGGTTACCAAAGTCAAGCTTGACTCAAAGGAAACATTACCTTCACTAAGTTCAGAACTTAGCTGAAGAAGCTGCTTGGACAAGTAGCGAAACGTCTTTAACCAAAAAGGAAAGAAGTCCAGTTGCCATGACTCAACCTCCAGACAATTCCACATTACCTTCACTAAGTTCAGAACTTAGCTGAAGAAGCTGCTTGGACAAGTAGCGAAACGTCTTTAACCAAAAAGGAAAGAAGTCCAGTTGCCATGACTCAACCTCCAGACAATTCCACCTGGAGGACTGAGAATCTTCATCAACATAAACCTGAAGTGATACGGAAAGCAGTCTTAATATTTACTTTTGAATTAAGTTTTTTTCTGTTTGCTTTGCAAGAAATAGATGGGGCAACCCTAACCTCAAGAACTTTGGCAGCTTGCTTAGGTGATAAAAAGGAGGAAGTGCAATATTAAAAACACACCTGCACTTGATTTACCTATGTGGAGGAATAATGCTGAAACTGGATTCTATATCAACGTTCCAGGCAGAGTTTGAAATAGGAGGTCATTGTTACGCTTGTTTTAAATGAAGAATTAACTATTGTCTACAAAGAATAAAAATTAGGCATCCAATTGCAAATTTGAAAAAATATACATTTCTTTTCCTAATAATGTGATGATGTGCTATACTTGAAATGATCTTATTTTACCTGGGTTACTGTAAGATGAGTAATATCAGATTGTTTAAAAGAATCCAGTGAACCTCTCCACAGGGATTTGTAGCTAGTTCTTACCGATACAGAGTTGACATCATCTACACTACGACGACTATACAAATTAGCCCTGATTTGATTTGGAGATTAAAGATCGGAAGACGGCGGAGTTTCATTTGAATTTGCAACTCAAGATCTGAGAGCAAATCAATCTGATTTGAGCTACTTCAAAGTGGTAATGGGGAAGTATCAAAATACCTGTAGCTGCTACATGGGGTGAAAATAGGAGGAACGGTAGATTCTTTAGAAGACGTTGCTGTCTAGCTTCAGCTGGGTGTCTTCAAGAGTTTCTCCTCTTCTAAGGCAGAAATAAAAAGGCTGTGTAGAGGGCAACACAGGAAACAGCCTAAGTTGCACTGACTTAGGGCAGCAAATCTCTTAACCCCAAAGCTGTTTAAAAGTTTTTAAAAGTTCTTTTCCACTTGCTTTTCTGGACTTCGAAGCTTGGCATGACACTGATGAATGATCACTGATTTGTCCTTGTGAACTGGTATGCTTCCTGCCTCTGGTCACTAGCTTTTCTGGGATGCCAGGAGGGTTGGCACAGTTGCCCGGAAAGCTTACCGTGTGATGTAGCTTTGCTGCTTCTGCTACTTAATTTACTGGAGAGTTTGCATAGCTAATTGGCAAGCTTGATTTCTCCTGGGGGGGAGGCATTCATAGGTGACTGGCAATGAACTATATGTAAGTTAGCAGAGGCAGCAAAAACAGGCAGGCACAGTGAGATGCAATAGGCATTTGTAGCCTTCAGTCTTAAGAGTAAATGTTAAGGCTTGCGCCTATGTAAGTACCCATCCATTATTAAGAGAAGTACTGGACTGGGTGGCCTTCAGCCCATACACAGAGCACTGAGAACCCTGCTATTCCCAGGTGAGTTGCTAGGACCTGCACAGAAATGTTTTGTCCCACTAGAACAGAGTTTCCCAAAGTGGTCAATATCGACTATCCATCATTGTTGTTGTTATTATTCATAGTACTATTAGTTACAGTAGTATTTATTACAATATTTTCATATAATAAATGCCTGGGGATCAATGAACAATCTGAAACTTCATGAAGGGGTCAATGAGCTGAAGAGTTTGGGGACCCCTGGGCTAGAAGAAAAGGCCCAACACTTGTGACTGGCTGAGCAAGTGAGGGAAGCCCAAGGCAGTCTTAGTTTCACCATCTGAGAAGCAGGGAGTTTAATGAGCTGGTATCTTTCATTGGCCAGCCGCGGCTGACATCACATCACTCAGCCCAGTGCTCCATAAATGGAAGTGAACTTGCAATGTTATATAATCACCGTAACTGCGAAAGCAGTGTAAATGTCATTTTGGTGAATCTTTCAAGCATCATTTGATTGATGCTTCTTTGTACATTCTTATTGTATAGAACACTGACTATGCATTATCAAACCATAGAGTGTCATGTTTATTATTTGTTATGAGTGATTTTATGCTGCTCCACTCAGCTGATCCTAAGTGGCTTCCTAAATAAGGAACAGAAGATTTAGATACCTTAAAAATGATTTAAGAATGAATCCTTGACTTCTGACACCTTTGGGAGTTTCCATGTATGCTGCTTGTTAGCAATCTGAACACCACAGCAATCAGAATCTTTTTTCCTCAGATGTGGACATGCACACAATCTCCAGTCTGTTATGGTGTGGACTGGATTGAGATTGGAGCATGAAGGCTGTGTGTGCTAGTGAGGGATTAGGTGTCCCACTATTCAAATATTTTACTGTAAAAAAGGACAATTTTGCAGGATATTCTCCACAAATTCTCCCTTATTATTATAATGGTCACTATCCTGCTCCCATATCCAGCGTCCAATCACACTGTGTCTCTTTGCATCTCTAACATTGTGGAACAGGCAAAATGGCCACCAAAGTTGATTCTGCTATTGTTTGATTTCTATGTTACTGCTACTAACAGGCTCGAGAAACTGCTGGAGAAATGTGGCAAAATGGTTCCTGTGCTTTCTTTGCCTACCCATAAAATAATAACATATGCACAGGCATTTGTGCATAGCTCTAACAGCTAAAGCACTCTCCCATTGTAAGGCTTCTCAAACACAGGAATCACAGTTCCATCTCCAAATGACGTCTCTCAGAATTGTTTGGAAGATGACGATGAGATCCATCCTCTAGAGATTATGTAAACATTCTCATAAACTCTCTGTGCTCAGCAGTGGCTAGTATGTCATATTCTTCTTTTTCCAAAGAGTTTTCCTAAGAGCTAAGAGATTCCAGAATGGTTTGTTCTCATCTGTACAGAGTGCTGGACAATTACTATTAGTTTTTAGCTTTTTTTTTTTTTCATCCATCTTCCTCACCAGCCAGTTAGGCAGCCCATTTTTCCACTTGGGTTTGAAATTGTTCTTGTTTGGGCCAAAATGAAGAGAGAAAAGAGTTGTAGTTTCCTTCCTTCCTTCTGTGGCATATCTCTCTCAGGCAAACTCTGGATCTTGCTCGAAATCTAGCAGGTAGGTGTGTGGCTGGCTTTCCTAGCTGGCTTTGCCTTAATTGACCTTCATTAGTCAGGGCCAAGGCAAACTGGAGCTTCTGACAGATTCCAAAGAGCAGGGCAGCAGAGCCAAGATTGCTGACATTTCAAAATCAGTGTATGAGAACATTCAATTGTAGCGAGAACACACCCAAATAAACAAGTTTTGCTTGTAGGTGAGAAAGGTAAGGCAATAATTGTCTCAAAATAGACAAGAAAATGTTTAGCCTTGCTAAAAGGTTTCAAGAAACATGATTATTGGGCTATATGTGTGTGTACATGTGTGTGTGTGAACATATCTTAAGGAAATGGCAAGGTTTCACAAGCTTGATAATTCTAAAGCTAATTAAGGAGGGATTTGTTTAAAGTTGGCCTTGACCATTAAGTCCTTTTATATCATGGGATGTATCAACAGGCAATGCTGATCTTTGTCAATGTTCCCAGTCCCTACCATAGCAATACAGATTTGATGTTTGCATGCCTTCTGAGTGAAAGCTGAGGCCAAAATAAAACAAATTCTGTTTACCCACAGCAAACTTTGGACTTTTGCTCAAAGCAGAAATGCAGTCTGTCTATTATTATGGGAGGGACAAGAACCTGTCATGTGCATACAGGCTTTTGCTGGAAAAGAATGCGGACAGACTCTTAAGTAAACACTAGAAATAATTTTTGTCATGGCCTTTTTGGCTCTAATGTTTAGACTGTAGATTAGTTAAATCCGGTTTTATAGGAACTGTTTAGAGATATATAATCTGAAACAAATGCAGGGTGAAAAATTAATCAAATGAACAAATAGAGTACTTCTTCTTCCTGTTTAAAGAAACCTGGAGTGAAAGCTAACAAACTGATGACTCAACAAAAAATATGAAATTTCTTTTCTCTGTTATTTATCTGCTTTGTCCAACAGACATCTCTTTGCAATAACACTGAGAACAGGGCAATGCTGCTTATAGAATTTTATTGCTTTGTGGCAGGACTGCGGCAGGTTGCCTGTCCACGTCTGCTGAACCACCTTTTTTGCAGGTTTAAAATAGGAAGGAAGGAAAGAAGGAATCCACACATTACTATAACAAAAAACAGTGCTACCACATTAAAAATCAGGGGAAAACATCTTGCAGTTCTTCATGAAAACTCAGTTCACATATCCAACAAACTGTTTTGATGACTAAGGCATAACTGCTGCCTATGTTTGGAAGGACTTAAATTGAGAGCTTGTGGCCTCAGTTTCTGCATCCAGCATCCATCACAATGATCATGTTGGCTAGCGTTGCTGGGAGTTGTGCAATGTCTGGGATAACATACTGGTTAGTCTTCAGGAATTACAAGAAGCCATTGGATCCAGAATTATTATCCAGTACATTAAAATGTTGAGACTGGAATAGCTGGGGAGGGCAGGGAGAAAAGATCATTTCATGGTTGAGTAAACAAACAGGTTAAATGGCTGGTGTGGGTCTTCTGGGCTGTGTGGCCATGTTCTGGAAGTTTTGTTTCCTAACAGAGAGAACTGCTCCTGTCTGTGCTCCTGCCCTCTGAAGATGCCGGTCACAGATGCTGG